CTGTTTATTTTTACTCTTATATTAGATTTTGTTTTCTCCGTTGTAAAATATACATAGTAAATGTAAGTTGCAAAAAGCTATATTATGTTATTAAATATATGAAAAACTTAAAGGTAATTTATTTGAATAATTTAAAATAAGTACTATATGACTAAAGGTAAAGAATAATCTAAAAATATATTTATTAACTAAAGATAAAAATCCATTGCGACTTATGTGTTTAATTTATGATAATAAGTGAAATTAATACAGCATGCAACGAATATATTTATAACAAAATGGTGATTTTTTTTTCCTAATTTACTTTTCCAATATTAAAACTAATTATATATTTTTAACTTCTATGTCAACTTCTTTTTAACTTCTGTAAATGATCAAACTTGAAATTGCTGAGGAAGGACCCATTGCCGTCGATTTAATTACCATACGCGCTGAGTCTTTCGATGAAAATTTTTATCCGTCTATGTATAAAGCGCTAAATCGCCTAAAAAGAAAGAAATCACTCGTTTATCAATGATCAACTCTTTTCAACCGCATGGCAACCATAGTTCAACTGTTTCAGAAAGTTGAAGTTGGGGTTGAGTTGATGGTTGAATTGAACGAATTTTCCCTATGTGTGATATGCCTTAACTCTGATTACTGTCTTAATGATTTTATAATCAATTTCTTTAATAATGTTTGCTACCTTTTAAAAAAGCTTTAAAAGAGCTCCGTGTTCTAACTTTGGATTCAGATATAAATGTTTGGGAAAAAGTGTAGAAAGACTGGATAGTTAAGATACGATGATAGGTTGGATTGAAACTGTTCGACTTAGTAACTGTTAGATACAAGATATTCATGGTTTAGTTATGCACTATAGATCGTTACTGAAAAGTCATACATGTACTATTTTTTTTATACATGTTTTTTTTTTAGTAGATAAAGTCAAATACCTCGGTCTGACTCGACTAGTTGGGTAAGGTCAGACATGTTAACTCTATGAGAATGCTAGAATTTCAGTGATAAAGTAGCAGGCGCTTATATTTCATGTTTCACAATTCAAGAAAATTTTCCACGTAATTTATTAGTGAAGTAGTCAAGGCCGTACTTAAGAGGAGGGGATGTAGGGAGTTGAATAATTGTCCGGGGCTGCTGAAGGCATGATCATGATCAAAACATAGTATTTATTAAATAGCTTATTTAAAAGAAAATTGCAGAGCATTTCTTTACATCTATATAAAAACTACAATTTTGCATAAAGAGTTCTAAAAAATATGAAAATATAAATTTAAAATCTAAAAAATATGAAAATATAAATTTAAAATCTAAAAAATATGAAAATAAAGCTTCTTGTGCAAAAATATGAAAGTAAGGATTTTCTCTAAAAAAGGGACGCGCAAAAAGTTTTGCAATTTATGAGCACTCACAACAAGAGAGAGAGAGAGAGAGAGGGGGGGGGGCAAGACCTGGTTCTACCCGATCTTACCATGAGAGCTGGGGATACAGAATTGGGGTTGAACTAAATCCTTATTGCTTGCTAGAGTATGAGTCTGTAGAAAACGTATATGAGCTGTACTAAAAATAATTTTTATGACTGTAATAAATGCAATAATAAATGTAATGCAAATGACTGTAGTAAATGTAATAACTGCAATAAATTAGACTAGTTTTGAAACTTAAGAATATTAGAGAGAGTTGACAAAGCAAATCAAACTTATATTCACAGCCAATATGGTTGTAACTTCTTGACTGGTAAAGTATAATCAGAGTTTGCAGCCAGAAAACAGAGGTACGAGGTTTCATCCAGAAAGTAAGTTTCCCGATTTTTAAAAAAAAATACAATTCACACTTTCAGGAACATATTTATTGGCAACAAGCACAGCAATGTTTCAGCTATTTTTCAACATATCCGCCACCAGAATTGAGACACTTGTCATATCGAGGGATCAACTTTTGTATCCTTCTGTCGTAGAACTCTGCCGCATGTGAATGGAACCAGCGTGTGACATACGTCTACCATTGCTGTGAAACACTGCAGAAATTGTGATGAGCCGTTCAAAACAAGAGTCGTGGAATGCTTACTGAAGTTGTTGCGCTTCTCTATGACAATGCTTATCCACATACGGTACGACGCACAACAGCTGTTTTGACGGAATTTGGCTGGCAGTTGTTTGATCATCCACCCTACAGCCCTGATATTGCTCCCAGTGATTTTCACGTTTTCTTGCACTCCAAGAAATTCCTGTCCTCCGGTGAGTGTTTTGGCAACGACGATGAGCTGAAGATGTCTGTCACACGATGGTTCAATTACAGGCGTCAGAGTTTTATGACAGAGGGATACAAAAGTTGATGTCATGATACGACAAGTGTCTCAATTCTGGTGGTGGCTATGTTGAAAAATAGCTGAAACATTGCTGTACTTGTTGCCAATAAATATGTTCCTAAAAGTGTGAGTTCTTTTTTTTATAAATTAGGGAAACTTACTTTCTGGATGCGCCTCGTAAATCCGACACAATTGAGGTGCCCGGTCCCACCCAATTACCCGGTCTCAGTTCACTCTCACCTATACTATTAATATATGCATTATGGTAGAAAGAGCTATCCTGTTTTGGCTAAATAAATGTTTAAAATGTGCTGTGTTTTTCGCTTATTATTATTTTTTTTATAAAAAGGAATCATCCTTTTAAAAGAAAGTTATGAACCAATGGGTTTATACTAAAATTCATATAACTGACATCTCATCAAATACGTTGTTTCATTCACAAGTAATTCATGCTCCAAAGCAATCGGATTGATCTCGCAAAGATTGTAGGAAGATACAGATTGGCCTCAGTCCCCGTTGAAACTAGCTAAAATATTCGGGAGCCTCTGTATTATACAAAATTTTATTAATGTAATTATATGAAAAGTAACAGTATAATATGAAAAGATGGTATTGTCATATTTAAATCATGTGAAAATTGTCTTATACTATCAAATTTTTAAACAAATAATAATTCCGGGATAGAATGCCCGTATTAAAAGATTCGTGTTACTTATACTATATTATGATATAGTTATGATTGTTTTGCATCTTCAGTATAAAAACCAATAATAAAGTAATTGTGCTACGAGTTTTTATTTAGTGGGTGAAAAATGCTGTCCTCGAATGAGGACACTGAGCGAAAAGGGATTAATACCTTGGGGACGGGTGATTCAGAAAAGCATTCGTACAAAATCAGAATCAAGTTGTAATTAAATAAAAAACGGTAACTTAAATGTAGTCGTCGCTAATTTGATAGACTTACTTTGCTTTTATTTTAATTAGTGTTAGTTTAATTATACAGGGTGTCTCAGTTAAGCGTTTCAGAACTTCTAAGAGGGGTAGGGGGCATCCTGACGACTCGAAATCATATAGCAATGTGGGGTCGGAAATGCTTTCCTGAAGCGGTGACGTACACAGAAGCACCATAAAGAAAAGAGACCGTAAGTGAAAAATCGCTACAATAATGCATTGAAAAAATTATATGGTACATGGGCCAAAGTAAGTGTTCGAAGTTTCTGCCACTGGCTACAATGTACACCTCACATCTCAGGAGCATGGACATTTGAACATTCTGCAATACTCCAGGCATATCTCGCAGGCAGCTACTGCGATTCTTGCAACCAGCATTATCAACAGGGGTGTCATAAACCAGTGTTTTCATATGACTCCAGAAATCAGGACATGATAGGTCGGGTGACCGAGGAGGCCATATAATTTTTTCAATTTATTATTATAGCGATTTTTCACTTACTGTCTTTTTTCTTTATGGTGCTTTTGTGTACGTCACCGCTTCAGGAAAGCATTTACGACCCCACATTGCTATATGATTTCGAGTCGTCAGGATGCCCCTTACCCCTCTTAGAAGTTCTGAAACGCTTAACTGAGACACCCTGTATATATGGGTAATTCTCACAAAAACAGTCATTTTCTTGTCCCCAGTATATTTTATA